GAAATATCCTCTGTCAAACCTACATACATTCATGGCTGTAGGCCCACTCACCTTCCATATCCTCTGAGGTTTGAGCATCTATATATGTATCCACTAGTAGATCATTGTTATTGCTGTTATTTCAGGATTTTATATGTGATAGCATTCACCTCTGTTGTCTTTAACTCTTGGACTCCTCCCAGTGTCTTCCTTTGCCTTGATCATTTTTTGTTGACCCCTTTATTGTATATCGTGAGCTCTGGTAGCGTAGTGCCTAAGGCACTTGACTGCTAGCCAGAAGGCTGGCAGTTCAAACCCACCAGCCACTCTTCAGAAGGAAGATGGGGCAATCTACTTCCGTAGTGATACTGCCTCGGAAACCCAAGGAGGGGTCACTATGGGTCGGATCCAACTCAATGGCACATAACAACAACAACAACAACAACAACCCCTCTCATTAATGATTTACCCTCCTTTCCCCTCCCACCAGCAAAGAATGTTTCTGTGTGGAAATCTTTTCTTCACTTTTTATAATAGTGGTCTCATGCAACATTTGTCCTTTTGTGATTGACTAATTTCACTCAGCATAATGTCCAGGTTCATCCATGTTATGAGGTGTTTCCCAGATTCATCGTTATTCTTTAACACTGTGTAATATTCCCAAAAGCATTTGACTGCTAACCAGAAGGTTGGCAGTTCAAACTCGACAGCCACTCCGCAGAAGGAAGACTGGGCAATCTATTTCCATAAAGATTTACCATCTTAGAAACCGAATGGGGGTCGCTATTAGTCAGAATTGACTTGACGGCAGTGAGTGTGGTTTGGTTTTAGAATATTCCATTGTGTCTCTGGACCATAGTTTGTTTATCCATTCATCTGCTGATGGGCATTTAGGTTGTTTCATTTTTCTGCTATTGTGAATAGTGCTGCAATATACCTTTTCATGTCACAGTTCTTATTTCTGTAGGATATATACCTAGTAGTGGGATTGCTGGATCATATGGTACTTCTATTTCCAACATTTTAAGGAAGCACCATACTGTTTCCACAGTGGTTGCACCATTTTAAAGTCCCACCAACAGTTTATGAGAATTCCAGTCTCTCCACACCCTCACCAATATTTCTGTTTTTTTTTTTTTTAGCTTTTCTATTAATGCTGGGGTGAGATGACTATCTCATTGTTGTTTTGAATTGCATCTCTTACTGCCATCAAGTCAATTCTAACTCATAGCGACCCCCTTTGGGTTTCCAAGGCCGTAAATCTTTACAGAAGTAGATTGCCCAGTCTTTCTTCCATGGAGTGGGTGGTGGGTTTGAACCGCCAGTCCTCTGGTTAGCAGTCAAATGCCTTAGGCACTATACCCCCAGAGCTCGCTCGCTCTCTCTATATATGTATATGTATATGTACGTATGTATGTATGTATGTGTACCAGAAGGAAGATTGGGCAATCTACTTCTGTAGTGATACCACCTCGGAAACCCAAGGAGGGGTCGCTATGAGTAGGATCCAACTCGATAGCAATGAGTTTGAGTTTAGATGTATGTGTGTGTGTGTGTGTGTGTGTATACATAGAGAGAGAGAGAGAGAGAGGGACACTCATTTTGTGTTTAACCAATGTATCAATTGTCCTCTCACAGATCCTGGCTCAAAGTAGGGGCTCAAAAATATTTATTGAATGAATGCTAATGGCTACGTTTTATATACTTTCATATTATATTTGAAGTCTAAAATCTTCTAACACTAAAAATCATAATCAATTACTCTAAAATTAAGAGAGAGATGAATTGGCTGATTTTGCTTCACATGGTATCAGTGCATTGAGATACCTGAAGGGAAAAGGGGAGCTAAATAAACAAACTACAGCCATAAATAGGTTTGGCAGATGGTATTTCTACATACATATTTGTATGTGCTATAAAAATATCCACATATATAGTAGAGCAAACGGGGCAAAGATATGAAAACTTCTCAGCTATAAGCAAACACCTTGAGGAAATGAGTTGCTGGGCCTTGGGGCTCAGTACCATCAAGGTCAACTGGCAGAGTCAACAAAGACAGTGGTCTACAGCCTACTTTGGTGAGTGAAGACTGGGGTCTTAACAGCTTGCAAACAGCCATCTAAGGTGCAGCTATTGCTCCCTTCTACTCAGGAGCAAAGAAGAGTGAAGGAAATCAAAGATAAACAGGAACAATTAGTCCAAGCAGCTAGTGGACCATGTGAACCTCAGCCTCCACAACTCTGAGACCAGAAGAACTAGATGGTGTCCAGCTACCATTGCTGACCACTCTGAAAGGGATCAAAATTGGAGATCCTGGCTAGAGTGGGAGAAAAATGTGGAACAAAACTCAAAATCATAAAAAAAAAAAAAAAAAGGCTTAGCTGGACACCATCCGGTTCTGGTCTCATGGCAAAGGAGGCAGTTGTTCATGGAGGCAATCAGCCACACATTCCATTTCCTCCTTCTACTCCTCCCTCCCCTGCCTCTGTTGCTCTGCAAACAGAGACCAATTGTTGTGAGATATTGTAAATTTTTAAGAGTAACATAGTAACATTAGCCAGAAACTAGCTCTAGGTAATTCAGTTTCAACACTGGATAGTGCTATATTCCTTTTAATGATATATCTTTATGAAGCTGGATTTTTGGCAGTTGCTGTGATTAAAATGTTCATTATGAAAATTAATATGGAACAGGAAAAATGGGGTAGCAGTGTCCACTCTGATGTCAAGGTTTAATAAGTTGTAGAATGCCCAACAGACACATACATTGCATTACTTGGTAACTGGTTATTTAAGTATGAAATAAAAAATGTTATGTTTCTCATTCACATATTTTTTTTTTCCCAAATGGCTATAAGGTTGTTAGGATAAAAATACTTATTTGGACTTACCTACTTATAAATAGGAGCTCTGGTGGTGTAAGGCCTAAGGCATTTGACTGCTAACCAGAAGGCTGGTGGTTTAAACCCACCAGCCACTCTGAGACTGGTGGAAATCACAAGACTATAGCCCTGAGATACCCTTCAGGCCTGGAACTGATTTCACCCCAGTTGCTCAACTTTCAGCCAAGCAATAAACAGGCCTACGGGGTGAACCATAATTCCAAGGAGGTCCGCATTCCTCAGAATGAACAATCAGCCATGTGAGATCAACAGGCAGCATTTGCCCAGGGATAAAGCACAGAAGGCAGGCATGGACAGGAAAGGACAAAGGGAAATGGTAACCACAGGGAGGAAGTGGGAAGAGTGCCGTTACATTGTGGTGACTGCATTCAGAGTCACCAAACAAAATGTGTATGAACAGTTGAATGGAAAACCAATTTGCTCTGTAAACTTTCACTCAAATCACAATAAAATAAATAAATGGACAAACCCTCTTTAAGTATGATAGCAATTCTTAATGTTTACACTCTTAGAAGGATGTACAAAAGGCACTGAAGATAAAATAAGAATTACACATACAATGAAATTATAAATATGTTCTTATTTCTATAGTAAGTAGCAATAGGTCTAACAAGGAATATAACGCAGTGAGACTCTTGGGCATATTTTTGCTTTGTTGTTGTTGTTGTTATGTGCCGTCAAGTCAAACCCGACTCATAGCGACCCCTCCTTGGGTTTCCGAGGCAGTATTACTACGAAAGTAGGATAGCCCAACCTTCCTTCAGAGGAGTGGCTGGTGGGTTTGAACCGCCAGCCGTCTGGTTAGCAGGCAAGTGTCTTAGCCATTAGAGGTAAGGAATCTCTCGATTGTGAAGTTAAAAGCATCTTCAGAGCTCTTTATGAGAGTATGTATTGAATCGTGTCCCCAGAAATATGAGTTGTAATTCCTCCTACACCTGTGGTTAAATCTCATCTGAGACTAGGTTTTCTTTGTTATGTTAATAAGGAGTGTTAGTGTAGGGTATGTTTTAAGTCAATCTCCTTTGAGATATAAAAGAGCAGATTAAGCAAGCAGCAAGAAAGCACAGATGGGGTAAGATAGATGCCACGCCACATGAAGATGACCAAACAGCCAGGGAACAGAACCTGAAAAGAGACAAAGACCTCCCCCCACAGAATGGACAGACAGGGAGAAAGCTGTTCCCTGGAGTCGGCACCCTGAATTCCAATGTCCAGCCTCCTAAAACGTGAGAAAATACATTTCTGTTCGCTAAAGCCACCCTCTTACCGTATTTCTGTTATAGTAGCACTGGATAACTAAGACAGTGATGTAAAACTATAGAGCATCATTTCTGAGACTCACCTTTGGGTACTTCAATACTTATCTTCCCTCTGTAAGTGCAGGGTATTAGGTTAAAATCAAATATGCCAAGATGGAACAATCAAGATGAAAAGTGCTGAATGAGGCAACCAATGAACTGGACTGAGCACACTGAAGACCAGGGATCTGAAATATGAGGGTCACCATGGGTCTGGGTCAAAAAATGGATCAGAATCCAGGTGATCAGACCACAAGGATAAGGATCCTAGGCAAGGGTAAAGAACAGGGAACCAGGAACTGGTTTGCTAGGTACAGGTGGAGACCACAGCAGTACAAGAGGGAGCCCAACTCTGCCAAAGACTCCACTGAACAGGGTTTTAAAGGAATTTCCTGTCAAGAGCAAGCCTGAGGTTAAAACCCAGAATTCAGTAACAGAATTTCACTTGGTACATCTGTTTTAACTGGAAGGTAAGCACATTATTCAATGACATGTACACAATTAAATGTCAAGTCGGACCTGACTCATAGCGACCCCTCCTTGGGTTTCCGAGGCAGTATCACTATGGAAGTAGATTGTCCAATCTTCCTTCTGAGGAGTGGCTTGTGGATTTGAATCACCAGCCTTCCAGTTAGCAGTCAAGTGCCTTAGGCACTATACCACCAGAGCTTCCTGTATACAATCACTAAGACTTAACAGTACAACTACTACATATAACCTTATAAAGCTATAGTTTACTGTAAATTAGCATTCCTGATTTGTTTGTTTGTTTAGCACACCAACTCCATATCAGATTCTATGCATTTTTCTGGCTCCATTACCTGAATTGCTGGTCTAGCTTTTCAGCCACAAAAGTCTGTTTCTCCTCTTCTTTCTTCTCTTTTAATAATCTGGCTTTTTCTCTCATTCTATCTTTTTTTACCTCAATTGTTTCTTCTTTCAATTGCATTTCAGTAAAATACTCATTTTCTTCTGATGCTAAAAGTTCACGTAGCCTGAAGCAAAAAGACAAAAAAGAAATTCAAACTGTGATGCCATGTACCCCATTTTACTACTTTTTATTTAGTTATATCCAATCTCAGATATGTCCAGTCACAAATTTTACAAGAAGGGAAAGATCCATTTCAGTCTTACATAAAATAACAGGAGTTACCATTTAAAGCCATGAAGTGCCAGATCTGAGCCACATTTGATTGGATCATCTATCGATAAGGTGAACTATATATATTCAGCAAAAGAAGTATAATGAATAGATTTTAATTAAAGTAACAAAGTATGAAACAATATATACTTTTGTTTTCCATCAAAACTCTGGTTCTCACAAGTGAAAACTTTAGCAAGCAACAGTTCTTGGTTTGGTGTGGGGCACTGGTGGTTCGGTGGTAGCCTGCTTGCCTTTCATGTGGGAGACCTGGGTTTGCTTCCTGGCCAAGGGACCTCAAGCTTGGCCACCAGCCATCTTCCAGTGGAGGCAGGCGTGATGCTTTCCATGGAGATTACAGACAAAGGTGGATTAGGAAGGAAAGCTTGGCAATCTGCTTCTGGAGGTGGGCTAATGAAAACCTGATGGGTCACAATGGTCTAGTCCACAACCAGTCACGGGGATGGCGTGAGACTGGGCAGAACCTCATTCCATTGTGCATGGGGTCACAATGAGTTGGGGCTGTCGTGACAGTAGCTAACAACATTAATTTGATAGGAATATGAATATCTCAGCCATGATCTTTACTATAAAGGTCCCTTGATATTTGATTGGTTAATTTCAACTTGTGGTTTTTAGGACTTCATAGTCTGGGTCATCAGGTTTTTAAGTCTTACTTATTTCGTCTTTCTTCAGTATTGATGATGTACCCTTGCATGGCATCCTTGATTCTTGCTTGCACAAGGCTGTCCAAAAACTTGCGGTCATTGTGCTGGTCCCACTCAACTTTCAAGCGATTCCGCTCATTTGTCTTAATGGAAGATAAAATAGCTTGATGCTTCTCATGGGTACGTCGGATTCTCTCCAGATGTGATTCAACCCCTTGGTCTCTAGGTGGCCTGGCTCTCTGAAAATAATAATAATTTTTAAAATATCACAAATCACAAAGCAATTGTATATTTGCAATTAATCATGACCTCCACCAATATTCACACTAAGTAAAATTGGGTACATAAACTAATAAATCCTGCTACAAAGGAATAAAGCTTAAACACCTAAGGATTCACCTGTTTGATTCTCTGAGCCTATATCTAAGATGTCAGCAAAAGAGTCTCAAATACTTCTAAAGTGCTGTTTGAGTAAAAGTTCACAGGTTGATCAAGGTAAGGAGTTGAGCAGGACTCTAGAGGTTATCTAGTCAGGCCCAGAGACATAAGTGATTTGCCCAAGGTTCTTCAATCGTTAGGGCAGAGCTGGACAAAACAAGAATTAGAAGTCTTCTAGTTCCTGACCTTGACCTTATTACTCACTATCTCACACTGTTTTTCAGAGGTAGACAATATAATAGCCACCTTCAAAATACTTTCAATCAAAGAAGAGACTATCTAACTTTATATACCATATACATATATATATATATATATATATACACACATATGCACACATATGCATATGCATGTATACATACACATATCAAGTATATACATATGTGTATACATATATATAAAGTATATAAACCAAAACCCACTGCCATCAGGTCAACTCCAACTAATAGCAACCCCTGTTGGGTTTCCAAGGCTGTACATCTTTACAGAAGAAGACTGCCCCATCTTCCTTCCATGGAGCAGCTAGTGGGTATGCTGACCTTCTGGTTAGCAGCCAAATGCCTTATCCACTATGCCACCAGAGCTCCTTATATATTAAAAAAAAAAAAAACACCTCACTGCCATCAAGTTGATTCTGACTCATAGCGACCCCTTTTGTGTTTCCAAGGCCATAAATCTTTACAGAAGTAGATTGCCCAGTCTTCCTTCCATGGAGTGGCTGGTGGATTTGAACTGCCAACCTTCTGGTTAGCAGTCAAAGCCTAGGCACTATGCCACCAGAGCGCCATATAAAATATACGCATATATATACAGTATATACATATATGCATATACATAAAGACGAGTCCCTGAGTGGCACCAATGATTAAGCACTTGACTGCTAACAAGATGGAAGGTTGGCAGTTCCAACTTAACCAGCAGTGCTTCAGGAGACAGTCTCGGTGATCTGCTTCCAATGGTCTCAGCTTTGAAATCTCTATGGAGCAGTTCTACTCTGAACACGAGACCACTAGGAGTCAAAATCAATTTGATGGCAACTAACAATGATAATGTATAAAGGATTGTGACAATTTAAAAAAAAAAAAAAAAAACCTTAACAAAGAAGGAAGGAAAAAAGAAAAAGCAAAAGAAAATCTTGTCATAGAACTTCTTTCCAGTTTATATTGTGCCCAAAGTTTAATGCAAGGGTTGTGCTCCTGACATTTTTGCATAATCTAAATTTCTATAAGCAAATTGTTTTTACATAACTTCCATTCAAAAGTTGAAAATGCACTCACCATTTTGAAAACATATTACTAGACTTAATTAAATCACATGGGGGTGGCGTTTGACTAAGGCATTTGACTGCCCGCCAGAAGGCTGGTGGTTCAAACCCACCAGCCACTCCTCAGAAGAAAGACTGGCCAATCTACTTCCGTAGAGATACCGCCTTGGAAACCCAAGGAGGGGTCACTATGAGTGGAATCTGACTTGACGACAGTGAGTTTGGTTTTTTGGTTTCTGTATTCCTAGTACTGAGTATGAGATCTACCATAGCCATGTTCTCAATATTAACAAATGGACAAATAAATAAATGAAACAATACTTCTAGTGGGCTTAATGCAACCTTCTCAGATCACCATGAAACCCCTGGTCTTCAGCTTTGTATTACTAGCAATGGTTGACTAGGTCATCCATTTTTTTTTTATTTTTTTTATTTTTTTAGTATATAAGGAGCTCTGGTGGCATAGTGGATAAGGCATTTGGCTGCTAACCAGAAGGTCAGCATACCCACCAGCTGCTCCGTGGAAGGAAGATGGGGCAGTCTACTAGGTGAGTAGTTGAACTCTGCAGAGTTGATTCATGGGAACCAGTCTTAATAGATGAGGCAGAGAGTCACTCTGATTGTTTATATTTAGAATGTCATTGTCAGTATTATAAGACTACTAGGATTGAGTGATCAGAAATTCTTAGTAAAGGGGTCTCCTAGGAAAAGACAATCAACATTTAAAGATTGCCTGATAAAAGATTCAAAGTCCAGGATACATATATAGTTGCCAAGATACAGTTGAAGAACATCATACTTAATAAAGTAGAGGGTCAGCAAAAAGAGGAAGACCCTCAATGAGATGAATTGACACAGTGGCTGTAACGATGGGCTCAAACACAGCAATAATTGAGGATTGGTGCAGGACTTGGCAATGTTTTGTTCTGTTGTACAAAGTGCTGCTATGGGTCAGAACTAAATCAAAGGTACCTAACCACAATAACAACAGAGTAGTTGAACAAAATAAGGCAGGCCTGAGGAAGGGAGGAAACAGAAGAAGATGTAGGGGGCTATATGGGAAGTAGCTAATCCATAACAGAATTAAATAAAGCCAATTTCCACCGTCCGTCAATTTGTCATAAGGTAGTGGTTTCCATGTTGCTATGATGCTGGAACCTACGTCACTGGTATTTCAAATACCCCCAGGGCCACCATGGGCAATGGGTGTCAGTGGAGCTTCCAGACTAAGACAGGCTAGGAAGAAAAGCCTGGCAGTCTACTTCAGAAAATTAGCCATTGACAGCCCTACAGATCGTAACAGAATATTGTCTAACAGAGTGCTGGAAGATGAGCCCCTCAGGTTGGAAGACACTCAAAATACAAGTGGGGAAGAGCCTCCTCAAAGTAGAGTCGACCTTAATGATGTGAATGGAGTAAAACCTTCAGGACCTTCATTTGATGATGTGGCATGACTCAAAATGAGAACAGTAGCAAACATCCATCAGTAATTGGAATGTGGAATGTATGACGTATGAATCAAGGAAAACTGGAAGTCCTCAAAAATGAAATGGAACAGATGAAGATTGATGTCCTAGGTATTAATGAGCTGAAATAGGCTGCCACTGACTCTTTCGTATCTGACAATCATATGGTCTACTGTGGTGGGGACAATAAATTGAAGAGGAATGGCATTGTATTCAGCATTAAAAAAAAAAAAAGTTTTGTCAAAAGAATGAACAAATCAGTCTTAGAAGAAATACAACAAGAATTAGTTAGAAGCTAGGATGGTGAGGCTTCAACTTGATTACTTTAGACACATCATCAGGAAAGACAAATTGCTAGAAAATGATAACATGATTGGTAAAGTAGAGTACCGACAAAAAGGAGGGTAACCCTTAATGAGATGAATTTCACACCTAGCTGCGATAATGGACTCAAACATACCTATGATCACGAAGATGGCACAGAACTGGGCAACGTGTCATTATTTTACATATATGGTCACTGTTACGGATTGAACTGTGTTCCCCAAAAATGTCAACTTGGCATTTTGTGGCTCACAGGCTGCAAAAGCAATAATGCCCAGATCGGCAGGCGCTATGACAGGCCAGTGGTTCAGCTCCAAGAATTGGAGATGATAATGAGCTAGATGCAGGATTCAGATCCAGCAGAAAGCCAGAGAATGTTCCAGAACATCCACACATTTATGGGAAGCATGGCACATCCCTGAGGAAACTCCCTTTCAAATGAGGGGATGTTCCCAGAACATAACATTATGGAGGTAATTACATCACAACTGCTTAAACCATTTAGAATCGTGGTCCAGCCAAGCTGACACACAACTTTTAACTACACACCAAGGAACCTAGAAGCAGAAGCTGAAGGGACAAGGAGCATGAGAAGCAGAGCCCCCTCAGTCTAAGAGGGTAGAGCCACGGCCTCTGGGATCTCATTGTGTGGAACCATGGCCTGCTGAGTCTCAAAGGCTAGGGCCATGGCCTCCTACATTTCAAAGAGTCAACCCTTCACCAGCTTGGTTCCAGAATGTGGGGCTGCCATTCACAAGTGTCCAAGGAATGGGGCCACTGCCCAAAGCTGGGGGTGAGGAGGCTGCCATGCCCAAGGAATGGGGCCTATCAAGGCTGAGGAGGTAGGGTCACACCACTCAGTTGAACTAGAATGGGGCCACCCAAAGCCAAAGCAGCAGAGTTGCCATCCCAGCAGGCTTGGAAGGCAGAGCTGAAACTAGGGCCAAGAAGCCTCCCACCAGAATCTAGAGAGCATGGCCAACACTCAGAGTCTGGAGGGCCACTGCTTATATGGTCTCAGAGAACAGAGGGTTATTTTCCAGCCTTGAAAGCTAATATAAACTGTTCTGCTTGGTTTGGGACTTCCTCGGTGCCAGTTACCCCTGCTTCTCATCCAATTCTCCTGTCTGTAATGGAAATGTCTACCTTGTGCCTGTTCTACCAACGTCCTTTGGAAACAGGTAACTTGTACCCTGGATTTCACAGGTTCACAGATGAAGAGCAATTTTGCTTCAGGAGATTTTGGACTTGGAGTTGATTTAAGACTTTCAGGATATTATGGGTATGAACATGTTTCACATGCAGCAAGGACATGAATTTTGGGAGGCCAAAAGGTGTAACGTTATGGATTGAATTGTGTCTCCTAAAAATATGTGTCAACTCGACTAGGGCATGATTCTCAATATTATGTAATTATCCTCCATTTTGTGATCTCATATAATTATAATATATGTTGTAAATCCTAATCTGTACGATGTTAATGAGGCAGGGTTAGAGGCAGTTACATTAATGAAGCAGGATACAATTGACAGCATTAGGGCTGTATCTTGAATCAATCTCTTTTGAGATATAAAAGAGATTAAACCAGTAAGCAGAGATGAAAGGAGCCTGACTACCACCAAAAAAAAAATATTGGAGTGAAGCCCATCCTTTGGACCCAGGATACCTGCACCAAGAACTTCTTAGATCCAAGGGAAGATTGATGCCAAGATACATGTAGCTCTCCAATGAATGCAGAGCCCACAGATGTTGAGAGGAGACAACTACCTTCCTCCAGAGCTAACACAGAGAGTCTTCCCCTTGAGCTGGCACTATGTATTTGGACTTCTAGCCTCCGAAACTGTGAGAGGATAAATTTCTGTTGCTTAAAGTCATGCACTTGTGGTATTTCTGTTATAGCAGCACTTAAATAAGACAGTCTCCACAAGTTGTAGCTGACTTGACCAAAAACCAAACCCACTGCCATTGAGTCAATTCTGACTTATGTAGACCCCACAGGTCAGGGTAGAACTGCCTCCGTAGGATTTCTGAGGTTGTAAATCTTTATGGAAGCAGACTGTCTCATCTTGCTCCATGGAGCAGCTGGTGGGTTCAAACTACCAACCTTTTGGTTAGTAGCCCAAAGTTTTAACCACAACACTACCAGAGCTGACTTGACAGAGCTGGTTAATTAATAAACAACTGTTCTCCAATGTTTATGGCATTTTATGAAAGTAGACTTGGTGACAGTGAAGAGTAGAAACAAGACAGCACCTTAGGCAGAACACATAGCAGGAACTTAGGCTCCTAGAAGACATATGGGATGAGTAGAACAGAAACTAAGCACCAACGTCATAAAGGGACAGGTGATTCAGGTTCTCAGGACAGGAGCCAGGCTCTGAGGTATGTTTTGGCTCAATTGTGGCATGGGGTCAGGACGAGTGGGAAACTGCATTATGGTGTAATGAATTACTTGGTATGGCCCTTCGAGCCATAGTCTTTGTAACTCCCACCAAATGACTGGGTAGAACTATGCAAATATGAGGTGCTTGTGGCCCACCAAAGGGACTGGATAGCTTGCTAATAATGTAATAATGTACATGGCACCCTTGTGGGGATGGGACCATGCAAACAATGTGTATTGAACCCTAATGTGAAGATTGGTCAGGTTTGCCATTTCACTGGGCTTAAAATGCACCATCCTAGAGGCAGAAAGGAGAAATTTCACTACCATTAAGAAAGAAGAACGAGGAGTGAAACATGTCCAATAAACCTTATAATCATGAGTACTGTCTGTGAGTTCTATAAGGCAACTGCAACAACTTATATACTCAGCAAAGAAGTAAAGAGTGCTGTGGGAGGGACAGCTGGTGTCAGAATTAGTAAAAAGGTTCCTACCTCATAAGAATCAGCCTTGGGCTGTTGATCTTGATCCTCCACTGCCTTGTGAAGTTAGAGGAGGTCCTATGTCTCTGCATGCCCTATTTACAAGCATGAACAGTAGCCAAGGAGTCAGGAAGCCGTTTAAGGCTTGGGGCATCTTGTGCAGGCTCTTTGGTCTTAGAAGGGCCCAGTGTGACCTGGAGTTCTCTAACGATAAGGTGATGCCAACCAAGGCACAGTCCTGGCATTGCTCAAAACCAGCACTGCACAATAGAAATGCAATGTAAAGCAGACATGTAATTTAAAATTTTCCAATAACCCATTGTTGTCAAGTCAATTCCATATCATAGCAACCCCATGTGACAGTGTAAAAGTGCCCATAGGGTTTCCAAAGCTGTAACATTTATGGAAGCAGACTGCCACATCTTTCTCCTGTGGAGCAACAAGTGGGCAGCTGAATGCTTAAGCACTGTGCCACAGGGCTCCTTTGAGCTACATTTTAAAAAAAGCAAAAAGCAACAGGGGAAATTAATTTTTAAATGTGTTTTACTTAACCCAGTATATCCAAAATATTATCACTTCAACGCGTGATTCTAGGCAGTTATCAAATGGCCAGAAGCCATGTATGGTAGTGGCTACCACAGGGGACACCACCCCTCTAAACCACAGGATTTAACAACTACCTTGCATTTTCAAAGTCACTGAAGACTTCATTACTGTACCATCTCAAATTATAGTTTCTAGGAGTATCTTACAGAACAATGTCTGATGGCCTGGCTTTGTTTTTGGCTTTAATTAATAACTGTGACCTTGAGCAAGTTACTTCATCTTTTTAAGTCTTAGTTTTCTCACCTATAAAAATGAGCAAAACAATGTTCTTCTAACAAGACTATTTTAAAGATTAAATAATTGAGTCCCTAGGAGGCACTCGCCAAATAGTTGTTCCTTTTGCTTCACCATTACTTCAGATACTACATTTTCAGTTGCGTTCTCCTGGAGGAATTGTTAGGAGCACTGGTGGCTTACTGCCTAAGGCATATGACTACTAACCAGAAGGCTGGTGGTTCAAACCCACCGGCCACTCCTCAGAAGGAAGGTTGGGCAGTCTACTTCCGAAGAGATACTGCCTCAGAAACCCAAGGAAGGGTCGCTATGAGTTTGATCCGACTGGACGTCAGTGAGTTTGTTTTTTTGGATTTTTTTGGAGGAATTGTTAAGGGTCCAAATGTTGTCTCTTGGGGGCTTTGATCCCTCCCCCAAAACAACTCGGCAGCCTCTGACAGCCGCGCTTCTCATCGCACTCAGACCCCTAAGGAGGAACACAGGCACCAACTCGCGTTCTTCTCTTCCTTTCTCTCTTCATCCAAAGTGGTCAGTAGGCCTGCTCCCCTGGTGTGGTGGTCATTTTTTCTTTTTATTTTCCTGTTCCTGTAATTTTCCCACACAAGTATTAGAACCCAATCGGTGAGCTAGTGAACTCTGTGTTTGGATACGGAACCCAAAGCAGATCAGTTTCTGTCCTTCATGAGTCTGTCTGTAAATGACACTCTGATCCCTACACTCTGTACAAGCCTCTAGTCTATTACTTTCCAGCTCCAGACCCTATAGTCCTTGGACCTAAAGAAGAAGGAACAGGTCTATACACTGACTGTGATTTGCTATGTGGATCACAAATCAATTTGTGTCCTTGTGATTTCCTTGGTTATCCCTGATCTTTCTTCCAAAAGCTGCCATCACAGATGATATAGCACATTGCTATCTACCGTGGTAGGTCCCTGGGTGGCACAGTTGGTGCTTGACTACTAATCTAAAGATGGATCACTGGAATTCACCCTGCAGTGCCACTGAAGAAAGTCCTGACAGACAATGGTCCTATAAGTGTACTTGTATGATCTGAATTCCCAGGGGTATAGTAGAGCTGACAAGGGACAAGGTTGTAGTCAATTCTTGGTCACAGCCAGCTACCCAGAGAAACCGAGTAGTTGAACCTGTGGGCTTGGGATCATAGTCACAGGGGACATCAATCTCAACTGGCATAACATACTACACAAAACACTGTTCCACTTCCTACTTTGGCGAGTAGTGAATTGGATCTTAAAAGTTTACAAGCAGCCATCTAGATGCAACAATGGGTCTCTGCTCATCCAGAGCAAAGAAGAATGAGGAAAACCAAAGATTCATGGAAAGAATTAGTCCTAGCAACTGTACACCATGTGATCCGCAGTCTATACGACTATGAGACCAGAAGAACTAGATGGTGCCCGGTTACCACTGTCAACCACTCAGAGGGGGAATCTATGTAGGAGATCCTGGATAGAGAGAGAGAACAATGTAGAACAAAACTCAAAATAATTTGGAGATAAAAAGACAGGGGGGACCAGGTTTACTGGTCTGATAGAGCCTGGTGGAACCACTGAGACTATGGCCCCTAGCTGCTCTTCAGGTCTGGAATTGAACCCACACCTGTGGCTTCCAACCAAACAAAAGGCAGGCATAGGAATTGAACATTTACCTGAGGTAGATACACTCCTTGGAGAGAACAATCATGGGAGAAAGAAGGGCTGTTTATGCACCGGGAGACAGCTCAGGGGGCAGGAGTACATGGAGGGATGGACACAGAGAAGAGGTAACTACAGGGAGGAAGTGGGAGGGGAGCTGTTGTATTGTGGTAAATTTTGGTCAGGAGGAAGTGGTAGGGGAGCTGTTGCATGGGGGTAAATTTTAGTCAATGTCATGAGATAAAGTATGTGAACTGCTGAATAGAAAGTGAATTGCTCTGCAAATTTTCACCCAAATCACAAAAAAGAAAGAAAGTCCTGGCAATCTTCTCCCAGAAAGATTCCAGCCAAGGAAACCCTTTGGAGCAGTTCTACTCTGTGACATGGAGGTCACCACGAGTCAGAATTGACTCCACAGCCATAGGTGGGGTTTTTGTTTTGTTTTGATCTGCTGTGCTAACCTTTAATGGTTTTATGAACGAGCCTGTTGTTTCTGCAACAAGTTCCCTGAAGGCAGGGTTCAGGTAAACCTCCCAGGGCTCCTTGTATTCACTGCTGTGTCTTCCACAGCTATGCACACAGCAAAGGCTCAGTCCATCCCCCTGCAATTGCGTAATTACACAGGGAGAGGTTTCTGGCTTGTGAAACTACTGTGTAGGCACAAAGGAATCCTGGTGCGTGGACCCATAGTGTGTTACCTGTGTGGGGGCTTCTAAGCAGGGCCCATCATATTCTGGGGCAAGCAGCATCCCCCAGCCTCCTGCCACCACCCCAAGAGCCAACCAACTGTTCTATTTCTAGGCCTGTGTCACAGCTGAGTGGAACTGGCACAGAAAAAGCTCTACAACTGCTCACAGCCCTTCACAGCCCAACCCCCCTTCCAGACAACCAACCCATAGACAGACAGGGTTCAAGACCAGCCCAAGGCCATACAGCTGCATCACAGCCCCAGCTCGCCTGACTTCTGCCCCCACTGCCCTTTAAATGACACACATCCCAAGGAGACGAACGTCTTTCTGTGTCTTGGAACCTGAAAGGCCCAAGATCCCAAGTGGCGATTCTCCAAATACAGAACCTAAATAATATGACAGGCGGACAGAGGATTTTCTAGGGGGTGCGGGGAGAGTTGGAGAGGGTAAAAGATGGACGAGAGACTGGCTTTTCTTATCGTTCCTTCTTTCAAAATTCAACCCATTGCATCAGGCACTGGCTTCCCTTCACGGGCGCTGGCTCGGAAGCCTGCCGTGGGAGGAGATGGTGAAGGCAGTAACATCCCGCACACACACTGCCGCGCTTACCACGAGCACCACTTTGGGAGTGGGGCCCTTAACCTCCCAAGGTACGATGCCAAACCGCTGGCTGTACATTTTCGAGCCCCCTCAGGATGGTGGCGGCGTCCACCGCAGTCCCTAACCGTGACGACCCGCTGCAGCGACGCGGCTGTGTGGTTGCCAGGGTGCGCCTCGCGGGGGTGAGAGCGGCAGGCGGGCGTAGGGTGAGTAGACGGAAGTTGACTCCGTCACCATGGGGACCATAGATGCCAGCACTCACGATTTCCTCTCGGAGCGCAGTAGCTGAGCCAGCGCGGTCGTCACCCAGCCCTTTGCCAGGCCCCCGCCGACCTCGCTCCTTTCCTCCTGGGTTCATTCAAAATGGCACGGAAAACTCTTAACCCCAAAGAGAAAGAGAAGGCCTGAACCACAGCTCCAATTGACTTTGCTATTTATATCCTGTAATCAGTTTAAATTAAGCATGAGAAATGGTCAAGAACATTTTGTGGGAAGCTTAAATTTTGTGACATCTGTAGGTTAATTTTGATGGCGGTAATAATCATCACAGGACACTCTTATATTTGTATAGTTCTTTACAATTTACAAGGTATTTTCACACAACTTTTGAGCCTCACAAATACCTTATAGGGTTGATGGAACAACAGGTCTTCATTTTACAGCTAAGACAAGGCTGAGTCTAAGTGCTTTGCAGACTGCCCCAATTGTAATGAGAAATGTTAATGATAAAAATCTTCCTACTGCACTGGACAGAAACCAGAGCTTAGAGTCGGAGTACCCTAGGACGGAGGCAGATCAAATGGCTGATGGGGCAGTTACACGTCCTGACACAATACCAAGAATCTGAAAGCCCGGGGTCACATGGGACCAGGGTCAGGGTGAGGTTCAGAAGTCCAAGTAATCAGGCCCTGAGGATCACGGGGTAGGCAAAAAACAGGCAACACAGACCAGGGAACTCAGATGGCGCCCCCAACACAGGCGGAGACCACGGCAAGCGGGGAGAGCACAACTCTTTCCAGTCAAGAGCAAGGTGGAGGTCCACACCTAAAGGCCAATTAAGAACGACACTTTGGTACTCCCATTCTACAGTGGGGGCGAGCAGAGAACATCAGAGCGCGGAAAATAAAAAACAGCACTATGTCAACCACTGACGTGAAAGAATCTTCCAACAACGAGTGTATATACCCACTTAAGGCTGCAATTTACTGTAAATTAGCATTCCTTAATGATTTGCAACCGACCCACTTTAGATTCGCTATGTGTTTCGTTTCTGCATTTGAATTCCATTTCCTGAATTGCTGGTTCAGCTTTGAGCCATAAAATAATGTCTTTTAATAATTTTTTTTCCTCTTACAGTGCTTCTTCTTTCGATTGCAGTTCAGTAAAATACTCATTCTCATTTACTAAGAGTTTACGTAGCCTGAAACAAAAGAGAAAGAAGTTAGATTGTCATCTTAGTTTCCGGACGCTGTCCCGCGGGGCGGTTCCTTGATCTTCCAAGTCCCAGCGACGCCGCTTGGTCTGGGCGGAACTACCCTCCACGTCACACCCTTTGGGGCTGAAGAGAGGCAATGACAACGCCCTTGACCCAGAGCAGGTCTTGGGAAGTGCGCTGAGACTCGGAGTCGAGGATGTGCAGCCCCGGAAGGTGGCGTCGGCGTCAGTTCTTGCAGGCGGCACCAGGCAGCCCTCGGACGTCACAGCGTCGGTCTTGAGTTCGTCGTGCCAAGCCCTCATCCCGGGTGTGTTGGGTAACGTCACATCCACGGGGAGGCCACTTCCCAGGATCGCCAAGGGTTAGGTCGAGGGGCGGTGTATCCTGAACCCTGGGGATCATTGCGGAGAGGAAGCCCGGCCGCTCCCGTGGGCGCCCCCTGACGGGCCCATTCGGAAGCTGCAGAGGACTGGCCTGGCCCAGGCCGAGCGATTGGTGAGCCAACCCCGGAAGACCAGAAAAGTGGCTCACTCAAGGTCCTACAAGTTAGAGAAGTCTTGGATAGAGCCGGGCCTTGATCTCGCCACCCACTCCCTCAGATTCTCAGAGACACTCAACACTGTCATCACCATCAAGACGCACTCAAAGGAAACACTAAGTATTAAATCAATAAAGGGGACAATACAAAGCATTTTAAAATAATTTTAAAAGTAGAACTAGAGATAGAAAGTATTTAAATTATATCCAATTCCTATTTTTTCCCAGCAAGGCTCACAAGGGCCATCCTGCCAATAGTGTCCTGAATTCTCTATTTTCACCATTAAATTCCACGATAAAGCTGGAAATCTATTCACCGTTTATAATATAGATGCATTTAATAAAATTGCATGAATCATATCTCTTTCATTTCTGTATCCCCATATTATGTACAGTGTCTACCATGAGCCAGTCCTCAATACTTGACTGAACAACAAAAAAAATAGCAAAGCCCACCAATTTCTTTCTGGATGGGCTTGACAGATTTTCTGTACTTGCTGGAACCACCACAAAAATCCATGGTCTTCATGTTTGCACTTTCAGCAATGTAGTTTTATTGAGTTATCCTCAGGTGAGCTGTGAGATCCTTGGGAGCTGATTCAGGGCAGGGTGGCTTGGAAATGGGTCACCTTGGCTAGGCTCCATTTCCAGAACTCCCTTCCCCATATGTCTCTGGTCGGAATGGGCCACGAGAGACTGTATGGTAAGTGGAGGGCAGAGGTAAGGCAGTAGCAGGCTGTTTTCATATACTTGGAAGGTTGGTGCAGGACACCAGGCGCTGTCGCAGTTCACACAGGTTGTCGTTTATCTGCTGGCTCACCTTGGTGGTATGGGGCAGCAGCCAGGCCTGTAGCTGCTCCACCTTCCCCAGATCTGCCTTCTGCTTCTCTGATTCCTGCGCCAGATGTATAGTTAAGTCTGTGATGAAGGGCACCAACTTCTTCTGCAGGACACCCACATCATCGAAGCTGAAGGTGGCAGGAGACTGACATGGGTTCCGGGCCATCCCTGTGGGCTCCAGCTCCCGCCCGTGGACTCCAGCTCCTGCCTGTGGATTCCAGTATGTCCTCGCTTGCCCACACTTTACGTCCATCTTCCCTTCCCGACTGCCTGCCCTGCAGACTTCAAGCTCCAGCATTAGATGCAAAGACAACAGCCTTATAGACTGTTTAACCAGCTCCCACAATTGCATACAGTCAAATCCCTATGATAAATCACTTAAAATACATACATACATACATACATACATACATATCATCTTTACCTTAATGATTCTGCTTTTCTGATTTTACCAACAGATATACATGGTAACAAGACTTACAACTCATGAGTGAGAACAATCAAATAAACTATACTTAGAACATCACTGTCAAAATTACCAGACGACTAGCATTAGGCAGTCAGATCCTTGGGTGAGCAAAGCAATAATATGATTATCCAGAGTCTAGACTTGGGTTGAACTAGGTAAGACAGGTAGGGGATGGGCAGAGGAGGGAGGCGGAATCATCTACAGCTGCAGAGCCAGGCTAGAAGGCAAGGGAGGGGCCGTGGAGGAACTTGAGGAGGCACCCACTCTGTCCCCGCACTGCAAAGCCGGCTGAGTAACAAATTATAGGTCTTGTCTTTTTGGCATTTTATGAATGAAGAGTTGGAGAAAGTGAGGCAGGACAGAGCCAAGACTGGCCCTTGGGCAGGACTCCAAGCAGGAACTCAAGCCTTCTAGTAAACAAATAGGCTGAGGACAGAAACCAAGCACAAAGGTCATTAGGGGCAGTGGGGTCAAGTTGTTGAGACAGAGGATCCAGGCTGGCAGCTTCAGCTCTGAAGACCACTTTGGCTGGAGGGGAGTGGGGGAGGGGGGGAGTGAGGCGGCAAGCAAAACCGACAGCAGCCAGCAGGGAAGGATGTCCTTTAAGGCTGGAAAAATCCTATGTAGCACCATAGCCTGGGAAGGACCTAATCTCTGGGTGAACAGGGAATGACCCCATCCACATTCAACCTTGCCGTTCCCTACACCACGCTAGAGCCAGCAGTGCAAGGGCTTATGAATGCACTCTGTTTTCAAAGTCAGAGTAATACTGTTACACATTACTGTGTAGATTTACAGTAAGGTTCAGTGCCTTACAGAACAAGGCATTTACAGCCTGGGTTTGACTCTACACTCTATCAATACTAAGCTGTTTGCCTTTGGACATGTTGTTTTATCTCGAGTCTCAGTTTTCTCATTGATAAAACTGGGCAAAATTAATATCCTTCTAAAAAGACTGCTTTGCAGATTAAATAAACTGGGTCCATAGGAGGAATTCATTAAACAGCACTTCCTTTCTTGTTCACATTACATTTTCAGCTGCTGTCTCCTTGAGGGAATAGTTTAGAGACACTCATTGGTCTAATCCAGAAGCCATTTAAAATCACTGATGAGTCAGTCATCTAAGGTTGTTTTGTAGTGGGTTTAACTCTATCCCTCTCTCCTGCAACCCCTAATACCCACACTTCTGATCAGAATCAGACCCCTGGGGGAAATGCACAACTTTCTACTCTCTTTCCCACTTCCATTCTCTACCAGCTCATAGTACTGACCAGCCTGTTCCTCTGGTTTGGTGGTAGATTTTCCTCATTGCTACTGACTCCTACATAAACCCCGACAACCAACCTATGGTCCAGGCCCTGAGTAGCTCAGTTTTGTGTCACTTTGAATGCTACAGTCTGCAGAAGCTTTCTCTTTCCAGGTTTATTAAGGTCTTTGGACCTGGAGAAGAGGGAGTAGGTCTATCTTGAATGAGGTTTACTATGTGCAAAATGGAGCAACACAAAACCACTTCCCGCTACTCTATGTCCTCCATCCATTTCCCCTTCATTATCCTTTCTCTCTTCTCCCTTTTAAGAACTTCCATTACAGGCAAGAGTTGACACGTAGTGGTTTCATGCAGAGGGAAATTTGTGTTGCCAACTAGATTAAAAGCTCCCTATAAACAGGAATCCTTTGTCTCCTGAAAGGCAGACCTAACAGGGTTCACCGTACTGCTCTATCTCCACACTGCTGTGCACATGGAGGGGTTTCTGGCCGTAGAAACTAATTTGTAGAAACAAAGGAACTCAAGTGCTTAGGCCAATGCTTATGTTGCTTGTGTCTGGGGTCCATGCAGTGCCTCTAACATTCTACAGGAGGCACCATTCCCGTTCTTCCACCATCCCGGTCCTTACAGGCACCTAATGCCAGGCTTACTGGGACTATGCAGCACCTGAAATGGTTGAGTTAGTAACCTCTATAGACCCAAGAAAGGCTCAAGAAACACTCACAGAGAAGCCCCACCCCACAGGTGATCCTCTAACAGGGGCAGGATTAGCCTGAGGTCAAAGAGCTGTATACCGGCTGGCCAGCGCAGGACACAGCTCTCCTGCTCACCCCACCTCTTGGCCCAGCACCATTTCTGTGACACCATCAGGGACATCCCACCCCTTCAACCCTTGGAGACTTCAAAGGCCTTCACATCCGAAATAATGATTCTCCAGATAAGACTGTATATATGTTAAGTCTGATCTCTTTTTTGAGAAAGATGGAGATCAAAATTTCCTTATCTTGCTTTTTCTTTTGAGTCTTGTCACAGGGAACCAAGGCCTCCTCACCAACCCCCCCAAAGGAAAGCACTGACCTGGGGCCTGTTGGGCTGGGCCCCAGGAGAAATCTCTAGGGTCCTGGACATACCCCTTCATTAATCGTGATTAGCCTGTGGGTGTGGGGGCCTTTACCTCCCACTGCACTGTGCCCAATCACTGCTGTACTTCCAAAACTCAGGACCCATGTCTGGCCGGCACCCAGCCCAAGCCCACCCCTCACTGTGTGGGGCACACCTTGGCAACCAGACCGCTGTGTCCCGGAAGCGGGTTCCACCCAGGCTGAAAATCTCCGTGATCTGGGGAAGAATCAACATCAGGGGTCAACAAGATCAGCAGGGCTAAGGCAAAGCCCAGGCAGAGAGGGGCGTTCCCCATCACTGACCACAGGTGTGCCAACCCCTCCTGCCTCCTCCTCTGGGGCTGAATCAGAGGCGGAATCATTCCTATTCTCCTCCTCAGGGTCAAGTGGCTCCTGCTTCACAAGGTGCAGGACTGGGTCTCCTGCCTGGGAGAGATGGAAAGCAGGAACGGTTAGATAGGCAGGTTAGCATGAAGACAGGCTCCATCAGCCAACCATGCACATGCTCACGAATCCTGTCTTCACAGGTAAGCACAGAAATGCCATCTCTCTACCTGTAAGCCACCCACCCTCATTACCATTCCTCACTCATCTCCATTTCTTAGTGGGCAGTCAAGTGGGCAAGGCTAGGTTCCTGGGAAGAGTTGGGCGTCTATCAGACAGGGTAATTCTGCAGAAGGGCTGTAGTCAGCATACTTCCTGCTCAAAATACCATCATAGCCATCTATCACTCAGTTTATATACCACCTCATATGGCACCAACAGAATACCCATTGCCAACCCCCACCTTGCTGGGGCAGCCAGGCAGTAGTACAGGAGAAATCAGGATGGCTGGGCCTGCTGTCCAGTCTTCCTGAGCATCCACCTTTTCTTGCTTCACCTGTGGTGAGGTCACAATCAACTCAGGCCAGAGAATGGGCCTCCCACATGAGAGAGGACTGCAGCTGACTTGGCCCCAACTTCCTGGGGTCAAGGGCAGCATAAGTGGGATGAAGGCTCACCTGCAAAGGAGCTTCTGTGGAAGGGGCAGGGCCAGGCACTGGCACAGGACTGCTTGCACCCTCCCGGAGGAACACAAGGTCAGTGCCAGGTGGTGGCAGCACAAAGCCACCACCTGCCTCCTGCTTCATTGGAAACTGGGCATGGGCTGGTCGGGCCATAGGCATGGCCAATGAGGACTTCAGAGTAGGGCCCAGCTGGGGCCGGCGGGCAGAGACAGGCTTCCTTCGATGATAACAGGGTGTCGGAAGCTCTGCTCCATCCTCAGATTCTGCCCAAACACTGGGCAGCAGCCGCTTCTGCAACAAAAGATGCGGTGCTATGGCATCCTGGTGCCACGACCCATACCCATTGTGCCCTATTCAACGTGCAAGCTGATCCTCCATTAATCCCAGTCTGGCATCAGTTTATGTATGAGCCCCTCCTCCCGGAGCACTACCAGTGCCACCTAGAGCCCATTCATCCCAGCACAACGTCTGATAGTCCTCATCCAAACCAATGTCCTCTCCATCCCTGCCAAGCTGCAGGAACTATCTGGCCTGCCCAGACCTCCTAGGCACTGGAGTGCCTGGCCCAACTTATCCTCCCCACTGGACCCTTCCTGCTCCACCCACCATGGCAAACTGCAGGCATTGGCGCCAACGGCATTTCTGGCGCTTCTGGTTGCTGCCTCCAAATTTGGGCTTGTCACAGCAGAAATCACAGCGGCCACAGTCTGTCCGCCGCAGGCAGGCTGCGCAGGACCCACACTTTCGGTTCTGCCGCCGGTTCGTGTAAGGCTGCTAGAGGTGGAGAAAGGGGCCATCACTAGGACTAGAAGACACGCTCAATCCCCATTAACAGTGTTGTCCCTGCTGTTCCTCCATTAGCCCTACTAGAGGAGCAAATCATCCTAACTGCACTCTTTACCCACTAGTCCACCATTATGTTTGCTAGTCCAAGACAGCCACCATCACTGTACTGGCCAGCCCTCGATACCATCAGTATTTTGGTTGCTCTGCCAACGCTAATAATCATCACTATCTCTAGTCTCCCCCACCTCCCCAATTCCAATAGGATTTTGCTGACACCCTCTATTAGCTCCCATCGCTGTGCCTACTATGCCTACATAAACCCTAGCTGCTGGACCTATTGTTTTCATCAGTCTCATCACTGTACCTACTAGTCCTGCATCAACCCAACCAGTGTTGGCACGTGTGGCACTGTCACTGTGTCTGCTCATCCCATACTACTGCCCTCTCACTCCCATTCTCTGCTCATTCCACACCAGTACCTATCACTGTGCCTTGCTGTTCACCTATTAGGCCCATTATAGCATCTGCTTCTTTAAGGTTAACCAAGTACCCTGGAAGAGTCTAGGCTTATCGTGTCCAGGTAGGGTGGGGCCACTCACTAGCTCGTCCTCGTCTACACAGTAATAGATGAACTCAGCAGGTGGCGAGGGGGCCAGGGCTCTGGGGTGCTGCAGAGGCAAATGGGGCGGGGTCAGGGTACATACTGAGTAAGATTAGGGTTGGATCTTTCCCCTGCCCCCAGGCCTCACCAGCTCTGTGGGTTCAGGGGGCTGCAAAAGGGATGGTGGAGGCAATGCTTGGGTTTGGGGGCGCCGCTGGGCAGCAATCTTGGGGTCACAGCCTCCTCTGCGGCGGCCAAGTTTGCCCTAGATGAGAGCCGAAAAGAGTGGTGTGGGCTTGGGGGCATCGGTCAGACACAGGAAGCCTACGAGTGCAGAAAGCATGCGTGGGACAGGTAGGCAGAGTATGAAAAGGGGCACTCACAGCAGGGGGAGCCACAGGCAGGGGAGGGCGTCGCTGACATCGTTGATGGTGGCGCCGGAGGCGGTGGGCAAGGTGCTGGCAGAAAGGGGAAGGTAGGCAGGGGCAGGGAGGTGAACATGGGGTAGGGGAGAAAAAGGAAACATGAGGTAGGTAAGGCCAGGTGGGGAGGAAGCAGCAGCAGCACCAACTCGTTAACAGTAGAATAAGCTCTGCCCCAGCCCTGGCCCCACCAACCTCACTCACCCGCAGGCAGCGCCGCTGGACGCACCTCCACTGGCGCCTGAGACCTGGGCGGGGTGGGCGGAGGCAGACTCGGCAACAGCCACAGTCTTCTCGTGTCTGACAGCCCCGGCACACTCCACACCCTCGGCTCTGTGGGTTGGGCCGCAGGCGTGACGGATGGGGCCAGGAGCGTGAGGGCCAGGGGCCAGAAGCGTGAGGGTCAGGGTCTAAGGATCATACTAGTCCCATGATGGGCAGGGCCCAGGGAGAGCTTCAGGTCCACCCCACCTGACTGTGCCCGACTCACCCTTTCCACAATCCGGAGGCAACGTCTCCGCTCACACTTGCAGAACAGCCCGGATGCCACATCTTGGGGCAGCTGCAGCAGGCAGGTGGAGCAAGTCCCGCAGTCCTCGGTCACCTGGCAGGCCACACACTCCCCACAGCCCACACGCTGCCAGGAAAGGGTGGGGTGAAGTCATGGACCCAAGCAGGGTGCCCCCTAAAAGCACTGTCCCTGCTATGTCTGCTGACCTCACATTAGCCTTCATTAGTGTGTTTGCTAGTCTCCCATTAGCCTCATCACTGTATCTGATAGTTACTAATTAGTTGCCATCATTGTGTCTGCTGGCCCCTTGCTTAACCTCATCACTGTATCTGCTGACAGCCCTTTACTACTAACAGTATGTCTACTGACCCACAGCCAGCTCCCTATAGAATAACCAACACCCTGCACACCTATCACCATTCCTTCAGACTCTGCATCAGCGCTCTGCACATCTTGCTCCCACCACTGGGTTGTGAAGAGCCCCCATAATAAGAGCACACTTACCTTGAACATTCTCTGCTCTCGGTTGAAGGCAATTCTCTGTGCTGGGGGGAGATAAGGGAGGGAGAAAAGTGGAAAGTGAGTACCAAACACCTGACCTCATCCACTGCCTTTGCCCTGACTCCCACCATTCAACTCCAACCCAGGCCTGATACTTGCAACATTCAACCCCTAAAACACACCAGCAACCTCTGTTCTGACATCCATCATTCAACCTCCACCTTTGCCTGACACCAGGACCACTCCAGCTTCTGTGCCTCAATGCTCATCCCCCAGGGGCCACTTACCTCGGCAGTCCTTGCACAACGTCTTGAGCCGTTGCCTCCTCGTACAATCTACTGAGAAGCTGATTCCACAATTCTCGCAGCACCTGGGACAGGAAAGGTTAAGTGTGCCCCAGACACAGCCCCGACTTACTTGGCTCACCCCAGGCCAGCACTCACCCAGGTGCAGGCAATGAAGCTGGGGCTGTGTCAGTGTCAGCCTTGGTCTCATTCCCCAAGGCCTCCTTCTTGACCTCATCCCTGTTGGGTCCAACCTGACACTGCTGAGCTTTGACTGGCCTTGAAGGCTTCTTCCGCTTTCTGCCACGGACAGTTAAAGCATGGGCCTGGAGATGGGAGTTGAGGGCAGAATAATGTAAGTCAATGGGTAGGGGATGGGTAAGTGGCTGTCACAGTGACCCCTTCCTGAGCACCCCACATCATGGAGTACCTTGGGGGTTGGATAGCATAGGACACCTTGCTTGAAGTCAAAGAGGGTGAGGTCACACGCGGGGCCCAGGTATCGGGTCAGCTCAACTTTGCTTCGGATCCGGTCTCCTGTGGGGCTAAGGGTGGACCAAAAAGGGTTGGTACCCAAAATAATTCACTACCACTCCACCCATACAACCCTCCCACAGGGTAACAGACTTATAGGGTGGCAGGATACAGTAGGCACCCTGGACCACATCTGTAAAACCTACCCAGGCCCTGCTCCAAATAACCTTGAATAGTAGGAATATAAAATATGAACATAAATATCAGCATGTATACAAACATTAATGGTTTGCATGGATATGAATACACAGGTAGTCCCCAACTTACGATGTATTTGAGTTACGACGAATACACTTACGACCGTCCGTTTGATTTTTTTGTGTGTGTACATCTTATTGTTAATAATATGTACTACAGGCAATGTTGTAGCACGTAATTTGCTGATGTTATTCTCAGATGTTCGCTCGCAGATGTTCAGTGTATCTGGAACACTGCATCTTCCTGGGAGAAGTTATGGGAAAATGTATGCAGGGGATATGGAAAAAATTGCTGAGTTATGTGAACACACTCCAAGCATTTGATCAAGATAATATGAAGGAAGGGATCAGTTGAAAAATAGTGCATATGGCAAAAACGCTGAATTTAGAACTTAATATCATTGATGTGGAACAGCTCACAAATCACTAATATGGGGAACAGACAGATCAAGACTAAATAAATTTTGAGTAGGAAAGACATTCTGAAGAAGAGAAATAAAGAGCAAGAGGAAGGAGAGACAATGTCAAAAAATCTTCCAATGAAAAGACTACCTGGAGTTTTTCCTATACTAAATCAGGGGCTTCGATTGCTTGAACACATGTACCCAAACACTAATTGCTTTGCTAAAGTCGATAAGCAGATTTGGGAAGCAGTGAGATGTTACTGTAAAATATATGAAGGAAAATAAAGAACCATCCAGGCAATTCTCACTAATTTTCTGACTACAAACACCAACCCCACCTCCAGGGATAATCCAGATGATTCAGAACTTTTCACAAGTGAAGTTACTACTAGAACCAACAAAATACCAACACTGTCCAATTTTTCATCATTAAGAGTAAATTTTTTTATTTGTGTATTTTTTAATGTATATATGTTTGTACTAAAACATATCTGTAAGTTTATATGTAACGTTTCCAATCGCAAAAGCAAATAAAGACCAACTTTATAAAGATACTGATAAAAAACAATAACAAGAACTTAAAAAAATGTGATATTCAACTTCTATCAGAACCGACTTACTACCTGTACTTATAACACATAACATGTAATAATACCATGACATGTAAATATACAGAAACATAAATGTTATATAACACATAAATATGTTAACAATACATCTTTTCAATGGACCATCTTTTCAAGCATGCCTGTATACCTCTGGAATATGAAAACAGGATCTCCTTCCAGAGCAAAAGGAGGTCACAGTCACTATCCCGGTATTATAAAAGAATTGATTCCCTATGCTCAAGGTTCTTCTGTAACACAACCCAGTGCATATGCAGGTGCCATTTAGCCCTCTTCACATCACCCTGTGAGAACTGGCATGAGGAGAACCAGTGCAAAAATTATATTCTAGGTACTGCTATTGCTGTGAGTAGTAAACTGTCTTTAATCTCTGACCCCGGAGTCTCAAATCTTCCAGTAAAAAACTCACTTCAATAGAGTCGATTTCAACTCACAGCAACTCCCACTGGGTTACCATGGCCGCACATCTTTACAGAAACAGACTGCCTCATCTTTCTTCCACAAAGCAGCTGGTGGATTCAAACCACCAACCTTTTGGTTAGCAGCCAAATGCCTTAAACACTATACCACCAGAGCTCCTTCTAATGGCACCACAAAATTGTTATACGCTCATGTGTTACCTTCCCCTAAGGGTAAAATCTCAAGACTTTTCTATTGGGAAAGCAGCCTATTTCACCTGGACATTCTAATCAGAGCTTTGAACCTAGAACTTTCCCTGATAATGAAGGCTAGGTACTAGGCCTCCCTATGTCCCAGTTTCTTCTTCTCCTTCCTTATCAGGCAAACTCTTTCCTTGTTCTGGATACACAGTAAACAATCTTCGTACTGCTTACTATGTACATTATATGGCACCTGGCCAATTTTCATGCTATTTCAGTCCCTGCCAGGAAGGGCCACCACCCATCTGTCAGTTTGTCACACTGTGGTGCCTTCATATTGCTATGATGCTGGAAGCTATACTGTTATTTCAAGTATCAGCAGTATCACCCATGGTGATCAGGTTTCATTCAGCAGAGCTTCCAGACTCACACAGACTAGGAAAAAATGCCTCGCAATCTACTTCCAAATATTCCATTAGCCAATGAAAATCCTGTGGGATACCATCTGATACAGTGCTGCAAGATGAGCCTCCTAGGCAGGTACTCAAAATATACAAGACATACTAACAATCATGAAGATGGCTTAGGAGCAGGAAAAATTTCAGTGTGTTGTACATGGGGTTGCCATGAATGAGAGCCAACTCAATGGTAACTAACAGTAGCTGGGGAGGTGATGAAGTCCCTCATCTGCAAGAAGAGGGCTGTGTGCAGACCACCAATCCTGTGCTGGCTGTGGAGTGAGACCCACGGATCATGTGGGTCTGATGCCCACACAAGGAAATGACTGTGACCTGCCTCTTTTCTATGTGAGTAAAGTATTATTCCAATCAGTGCCTGTATTGACTTGTGTCTTTCTTGGCCATCTTGGACCCTGGCTCAACACCTTCATAGTTCTTGACAACCATATTTATGTTTATGTACTGTTTTTCAGAGTCATAGGCTGTTGTTAACTGCCATCAAGTCGACTCAAGCTGACTCTGACTCATGGCAACACCATGTGTGCAGAGAACTGTGCTCCGCAGGGTTTTCAAGGCTATGACCTTTCCGTAGAAGATCATCAAGACCTGTCTTCCAAAAAGCTGTTGGGTGGGCTCCAACCATCAACCTGCTGGCTAGCAGTCAACTGTTCAACATTTGCATATTGTTGTTGTCATGTGCCATGAAGTTGATTCTGACTCAAAGGGATGCTGTAAGACAGAGTAGAACAGCCCCCTAGAGTTTTCCTAGGCTGTAATCTTTATAGGAGCAGATAGCCAAGTCTTTCCTCCCATTGAGCAGGGTGGTGGGTTTGAACCACTGACCTTTCAGTTTGCAGCTGAGCGCTTAATCATTGAGCCATAAAATTACATAAATATGTGGATAACTGTGCAACTAACTAAAAAGTAATCATATTTGTAATCTTAACATATTCCTCTAAAAAACTGGCAACTTAAAGATGAAGACTCAAAAAGAGCATAGTAAGTTTACTATCTATAGCACTAACAAATTCTAAGACATGTGTCAACATTTGTTTACAAACTTAAAGACTTGCATACCTACCTGTTTACATGTATAATTTTAACCCCTCACACACCATACCCTGAGTCCACCCCACCGTTAACCAGGCTCACCCCTATCCCTAACTCTGCCCACAACCCACCCAGTACCTCTGGTAATAAGTGTCGGAACGTCCGCAGGTAGCCCCCGACTTGCGAAAGACCTCTCGGCGCTTCCAGCCTGGGCCCAGGGCTGGGCAATCCAGCCAGTCCTCAGCCATGGGGGCCACGAGAAGGGACAGAGGCCTGTGAGTTACGGTAGGGAAAATGGGGAAAACTGAGGAAGGGATTTGTGCCCCAGTAAACACACATCCTGAGGATTCATTAATACTAATTCAGGTAACCAGCCCATCCACAAGAGAAACTGCTACTCCTTTCCTACTCCTTCCAATCCTGGGTCCACGAGCTCCCTGATTTGTTCCCATTCTTGACCTGGTAGCCTGTACTCCTCCCCATCCTTGACCCAAGGACCCCCATTCTGTTACCACAGTATCTTGATCCCCTATTCCTTCCTAGTCTCAACCTGAGAGCCCATCATTTCCTCCCACTACCAACCAAGGAACTTTTCAATCTTTTCCCTCATTCCTCCTCACTCCTCCTTGTACTTGACCCAGGAGACACTCCTTGTCTTTGACCCAAGGGCCCTTTTTCCTTCCGTCTGTCAGTCTGAGACCCCCTATACTTCCAGTCCTCAGCATGAGAGGTCTCATTCCTCCCCATCCTCTGAGAAAGAGACCTCATTACTCTCACCCTGACACAGGTCCTCAATACTTTACCTCAGTATTCTGACCATATACTCTCATCCACTCAAAAGTCCTCGATTTCTGCTCTTCATTGTTTTAACACTCCCACATACCTCCGCAGTGATACCGCCTCGGAAACCCAAGGAGGAGTCGCTATGAGTCGCATTCGACTAGACGGCAGTGAATTTGGTTTTCTGGTTTTTACCCCTCTCAGCTACTTCAGTTTTATGAACTCTATTTTCCCTGCCCGAGAGCCCCCAACTCATCCAGATCCTTGGCCTGAACAGACACTTATTCCTTCCCTTCCTCCTGGAAGTCTCCCATCCCTCTCCGTCTTCAGTTCAAGAGCCCCCGCCTCATTATTTTCTCCCTCAGTGTTCTGACCCAGTTTGTCCCCAATCTCAGCCAGAAAATCAGACTCCTTTCCTCTATAACCAAAAACCCCTACTCCTCTTCTTCTACCTTCTCATTCTCCATTCCTCTCTCATCAGCCGAAAAACTCTGCTTTTTCTCCTCAGCATTCTGACTCCTCCCACATTCCTGTCCTCACCTAGAGATCGTGTCATCTGTCAGCGTCTGATCCCCTATTCCTCCTCATCCTACATCCGAGCACTCTACTCCTACCTTTCAAGCATGCCAACGCCCCCATTTCTCTCCGTCATCGGCCTAAAAGCCCTTCAATCCTCCCCTTCAATTTTCCCCATCCTCGTCCAGGATCCCGACACTCCTACTTGTCAGCGTTCCATGCCCCATTCCTCTCTTTCAGCATCCCGACGCCGCCATTCCTCCCTCTCACCGGTCTGAGGGCCCTTCATTCCTCCTCGTCAGCTTTCTGAGCCCCAATTTCCCTCCACTCTCCGCCTAGGCGCTCCCTACTTCCACTCCTATGGCTGTCTCACCAGCTCTGCGACGGGCTGATAGCTTCCGTCGCTCTAGGCCTGCGGACCCATGGCGAGACGCCCGCCTGCCCGTTTCGCCTTCTACTCTCCCTCCTCCGCAGCCGCCTCTCTGAAGCGGTAGCTGTCGCCGCTCCAGCCGTTCGTTGCTTCCGGAACCGGAAATCCGCTGCCTGCCTGTTGGGCACCGCCCCTGGCCAGACGCCTGCGTACTAATGCCCCGACAGTGCGTGCCCTTAGTGGGGAAGCTCCCACGCCTGCGTACTTATGTTCCACACCTGCGCGCGCAAGTTGCGGACCTGCTGCGCCGGCGCGGTGACATCCAACTGCGGCTCGCTCCCTCAGCGGAGAAGCTGCAGCACCCGCGCATCTAGCCAGGCTATCCCCATCCGGAACGTACTACCCCATTACCACCTTATTCGCGCCTGCGCTGTCTGATGCCAAACTAAGGGGGCGTGAAGGCCTAGGGTTACGCCTACGTTCTCTAGCCCTATCCAAGAGCACAGGAGGAAAGGGACGGAGAACACTGGAGAAGCGCTAGCGCACTTCGCTTCTGACAGACCTGCGCTTTGGGCTTTCCTCTTCTGTCCGAGGGGAGTGTCAGGGGCTGGGGCTGCGCCAGCGTCCCCCTCTGCCACCTCTCGCCTGGTTCGCACCACTACCCTCCGTTCCTCCAACTATCAGTTCCTCCAACTGGTCTTGGTGTCCTAAAGTCGTGGATTGTTGTTTTGTGCCCTCGAGTTGGACCTGACTCATAGCGACCCCTCCTTGGGGTTCCTAGGCAGTATCACTAGGGAAGTAGATTGCCCTATCTGCCTTCTGAGGAGTGGCTGGTGGGTTTGAACCGCCAGCCTTCTGGCTAGCAGTCAAGTGCCTCAGGCACTACGCTACCAGAGCTCCCAAAGTCGTGGGAGGGAGAGGAAACCGAGTTACACCTAGCGCAGGCCTCACCACCTTTCTAGGAAACTGGAGAAAGGTACCATGCCTCGCCACAAGTAAACAGTAAGCGTGGCTGTGCGACTGAGCGGGGTCATGTCCACCCCTCTAAGGTCTTGCTGCAGGACTGAGTCAACCCTACAAAGGACAGGGGCTGGGTGTCAGGCACTGAGTGGGCTCCTGCTGTATATATGCCCCAAACGAGGGTAGAGGATTGTGTCCATTGCTTAACATACCTCCGGTCTGGAGAATATTAACACACCCAATCAGCCACACACTTAAGGAATGCTAACTCAGTGCTAACTGTCCCAAAATAAGCTGATAACCTTGGGGGTCTCCCTCTCCGGGCATATCCCCACAGCTCAAAGGAGTCCTACAGAGCACAGAGTGGGTGTCAACTGCATACTCATTTCCCACTCATGTACCGCTGCTGTTATGTTCCATCAAGTCAGTTCCAACTCACAACCACCTTAAGTACAGCAGAAGTAAACGCTGCCCTGCGCCGTCCTCACAATCCTTGCTGTGTCTGAGCTCATCATTGCAGCCACTATGTCAGTCCATTTCGTGGAAGGTCTTCCTCTTTTTTGCAGACCCTCATTTTACCAAGCATGATGTCCTTCTCCAGAGATTGGTCCCTCCTGGTAACATGACCAAATATGAGACGAAGTCTCGCCATCCTCACTTTTAAAGTACATTCTGGCTGTACTTCTTCCAAAATAGATTTTCATTCTCTGTCCAGTATATATTCAATAATCTTCACCACCATAATTCAGCATGCAGCCCCTCCCAAATATAGGTATACCACTGCCCATCTTCCCCAGCAGTTTGGGGCACAAATGCTGCCAGAGACAAGTCTGGAGGCCATGAGAAACTGTCTTCCTTGATTTTTCCAAATTTTATTAACAAAACCCAGGGAGGGTGGAGTTAATGCCTTACTCTATGGTCCCACCCAGGCACAGAGGATGGAAAGACACAAGGACAGACAGGAATGGGGAAATTCTGAGACCCTCTGATGGGTGGCCAAATGGTAGATGCCACAGGGAGAAATTCAGGGATCCTCAGAGAAACAGCTGAATGGAGGAGCAGACACATGGGTGATTCCGCCAGGAATGCAGGGTGTGAAGGTGCCTGGGCAAGTGAGGCTCAGCGGTCAGCACTGGATCGAAGGTCGGTCGTGAGTGGGTCATGCTGGATCGTTTGGTGCAGCATCAGAGCCAGTAACCCTGCCCGGTTTGTCATGGCTGTGCGTACATTGCGCTCCTGCTCAAACAGCTCATCTAGCTTGTACCACTGTTGGGAACAGATGGAGCCATGAGAAGGAGCTCCTGAAGTCCAGACTGCCCTGGCCACATCCAGCATCCAGACCTACCACACGCACACGCTCCAGGTCCACCTCAGCACGGCGCAACTTCTCCCAGCAATAATGGCGGTTGCACTGGCGCTTCGGCAGACGGCAGAAGTCTCCTGTGAGCTCAAACACATCACGTACGAGTGGGCACCCACATACCTCATCAGCTGGCACCTGCAGGAAACCAGTGAGGATGTATGGAGGGTGATGATCAGGGAGGAGGGGAGAAATGGGGGATGACCAGAAAGGAGGAAAAGAATGGAAAGAGTTCAGGCAGGAAGTAGGGGAGAGTGAAGGGACAGGAAGAAAGCAGAGAATGAAAAAAAACAAGAGAAAGGAGGAATAGAAGACAATCACTAGAGAGGAAGAATATAAAGTGCTCAGGCAGGGAGGAAGAAGGGACTGAAAGGCTGAGCAAGGAGAACATACATGAGAGTCAGTGAGGAAGGCAAGAGTGAAAAACAGTCTGGGAAGAAGAGGAAAAGTGATGGCTCAGGGAGTAGGCTTGGGACCATAGTCGCAGAGGACATCTAGCTCAGTTGGCGTAACATATTACACAAAAACATTGTTACATATTCTATTTTAGCAAGTAGCAACTGGGATCCTAAAAGCTTGCAAGTGGCCATCTAGATGCAATGATGGGTCTCTCCTCATCCAGAGAAAGAATGAAGAAAACCAAAGACATATGGGAACAATTAGTCCAAGCAACTGGTACACCATGCAATCCTTAGCCTATGTGACTATGAGACCAGAAGAACTAGATGGTGCCCAGCTACCACTGTCAAACACTAGGCGGGAGATCTATGTAGGAGATCCTGGATACAGTGGGAGAAAATGTAAAACAAAACTCAAAATCATTTTAAAAACCAAAGGGACCAGGTTTCCTGGTTAGATAGAGCCTGGTGAAACCACTGAGACTATGGGCTCTAGCTGCCCTTCAGGTCTGGAACTGAACCCACTCCTTTGGCTTCCAGCCAAACAAAAGACAGGCAAATGAATTGAACATTTATATAAGGTAGAGACACTCCTTGGAGAGATCAATCATAGGAGAACAGATAGGCTGTGTATGCACAGGGAGACAGCTCAGTGGGCAGTTCATGAGAGGTCAGGACACAGAGGAGAGGTAACTATGGGGAGCAGATGAGAGGGAAGCTGTCACATTGTGGACAACTGTAGTCAATGTCATGAGACAAGGTGTGTATATGCTGCTGTATGGAAGGTGATTTACTCTGTAAACTCACACAAATCACAATTAAAATTGAAAAACGAAAAGTGATGGCACAGGGAAAAGGTTAGGA